TTCTCTTTCTCTTTCTCTTTCTCTTCCTCTTCCTCTTCCTCTCTCTCACTCACACACACACACACACACAGATCCCTCTCTCACACACACATACCCTCCAAGGCAGCCACATTCCTAACCTGCTTTTGAGCTCCACTCTCCGAAGGAGGGGGAGAGAGAGATCCAATCTAACCTCATAGGGCTGGTGATGTTCTCATTCTCTTTCTCTTCCTCTCTCTCTCTCTCTCTCACACACACACACACACACAGATCCCTCACACACACACACACCCTCCAAGGCAGCCACATTCCTAACCTGCTTTTGAGCTCCATTCTCAGGGGGAGAGAGAGAGAGAGGCGGTATTCTGCCGTGGCCCATGTGGGTGGCGCAGCCTTGTGTTCCCATGCAGCCTGGTGTGATGACCCAGAGTATATCAGAAATGTAACAAAACCCAAAATGTAACTAAAAATCCTTTAATGCCTTCAACTTGGCTTCACTGTTTAATTGTTCACAGTGGATGAGTAAAATATTTTCAAAACATTTCAAAGGAAAGAAACACAGTTCAAATTCAAAGAGACGATAACGAAGCAAAAACCAAAAACAAACTGCACTGAATAAAGTTCCACAACAGACCAGGATAGATAATTGCCAACTTCAGGAAGATAACCAGGTACAGTCTGTTGGAAGAACGCCAACCAAGATAAATCTTCTTTAGGAATAAAACAATTTGTCTCCAGCGTCTGTTAGCATGCAGGTCCAACCTTTTATGCAGTTCTCATGCCTGCAACCCATGAAGAGGATCATGGCCCTCTCCTCCCGAGTAGACCATGTTTTACCCTGATCCTTTCCTCCCCGCGTGCCCTAGGATGGATAGGGGATGGGCCTGGGTCCTCCTCTGACTGCTCAGCCGGCCTCTGCCCTTCCCCAGCCTCCTCCACCACCTCTGCAGCCACACTTCCACTCCCTGTTGGCTGTTCCTCCTCTTCCTCAGAGACAGTCTCCACCAGGGGCATGACACCTGGATTAATTGTTTTGGGGGGTGCTCTGGGGGTGACATTTCTCTGCAGACCACCAAAATTTTCTTGCAAACCACCAGTGGGCCATGGCCCACCGGTTGGCGACCACTGCATAATAAAACCCATCTGTTTTAACATCTTTTCATATCTAGAATGTATTTGCATATATGAGTACCAATTCATATCATTCCCTTGTTCATTCAATTCTTGTTTTGTTTTGATTTCCCCCCTTTCATTTAAAACATCATTATATCTAACAATATGTCCCATTTTAAAAACATTTGGATATATAAACGCCTCCATTGTTGATAACCAGACTGGTATTTTCATGTAATGTTGTTCCCTTGTTTTCTCCCATATTGACAATAAAGGATCTCTTACATAATGTCTTTGAAAGTAACCATGTCTTATTTTTCTTATACCATAAAAAAGCAGGCCAACCCAATTGTAAACCATGCCCCTCCAATGTTAAAAGCCTTGTATTTCTTAATACAATCCATTCTTTCATCCACGTCAATACCACAGCTTGATAATATAATTCCCAATTGGGTAGCCCAAATCCTCCTCTCATTCTTGCATCCTGTAACAGTTTTAGTTTAATCCTTGCTTTCTTCCCTTGCCATATGCATTTCAATATTATCTTATTTAAATCATCAACATATTTTTTTCCAATTTTATTGGAATTGTTTGGAATAAGTATAGTACTCTTGGTAATATGTTCATTTTGATCATCGCTATGCTCCCTATCCATGATCGTTGTAAGGTTTTTTCATTTTTCCAGGTCTATCTTAATCTGTTGTTTTAATCTATAATAATTATCTTCTTTAAGCATGCCACATCTTGCTGTTAGTTGGATCCCCAAATATTTCACTTTCTTTGTGATCTGGATATCTAGTTTGTCCATCAATTTTTATTTTTATTTTGCTTTTCTGTAAAATTTTTCACTAATATCTTAGTTTTCTCATTTATTTTCAATCCTGCGACTTTCCCATATTCTTCTATCTTTTCTATCAGTTTGGGTCCTGTTTCTAACGCTTCTTCTTGTATAAAAACCAGATCATCTGCAAATGCCTGCAATTTGTACTCCTCCTTTTTTATCTCCATGCCCTTTATTTCCTTATTTCTTCTAATATTTCTATTTAACACGTCTAAAGTCAGTACGAATAACAGTGGTGACAAAGGGCATCCTTGTCTAGTTCCTTTCTTAATGTTAACATTTACAGTCATATCATCATTTATCATTATTTTTGCTGTTTGTTTATAATATATTGCCTTAATCATTTTGACAAACCTTTCCCCAAAACCCATTTCTTCCATTTGTGCCAACATAAATTGCCAGTTCACATTATTGAACGCTTTCTGTGCATCTAAAGAAAACCAACGCCATTTGCTTTTCTGGGTGTACTTTGTAGTATTCCAGTGTATTCAATATTGTCCTCATATTGTCTTGTATTTGTCTCTTAGGCAAGAAGCCATTTTGGTTCATGTGTATAAAATGATTTAGATATCTTTTTAGTCTTTCTGCCATTATTGAAGCAAATATTTTACAATCTGCATTCGACAAGGATATTGGTCAATAGTTTTTTATCTGTTGTAAGTCGAAGTCTTCTTTCGATATAAGAGTAATGTAAGCCTCCATCCATGAATTAGGTACTTTGGCTTTTATCAATACTTCGTTTAATACCTCTAACATTATATTGCAAAGAGAATCCTGTAATGTTTTATATAATTCTGCTGGCAGCCCATCCAAGCCTGGAGCTTTCCCATTGTTTTGTCTATTTAATGCTTCAGTTAATTCCATCATTATTATCCTTTCTTCTAGCATTAATTTATTTTCTTCTGATATTTTAGGTAGTTCTGCTTCCTTCAAATATTGTTTAACTTTCTCTTTTAAGATTGTCTCTTGATCATATAGTTTCTCATACTTTTTAGCTATTTCTTTTTTTTTTCTTCATTTCTATGACAAACAGTCCCATTATCATCTATTAATTGTATTATCCTTTTCTGTTCTTTTTCTTTTTTTCAGCTTATCTGCTAACCATCTTCCTGGTTTATTTGCATTTTCAAAAAGGTTTTGCTTAGATCTTTTAATTTTTTTGTGCCAGTTCTTCTTTCTCTATTAATTCCAGTTTATGTTTAACTAAGTTCATTTGATTTTTTATATTCTTTTGCTGCGGATATTTTGGTAATTCTTTTTCTAACCTCTTATAGTCCTCTTCTAGTACTTTTTGGTCTTGTCTCTTTTTTATTTCTCTTTCCTGTATAGGTTATAGTTAACCCTCTAATACAGGCCTTCATTGTATCCCATACATTTTGTAATGAAGTTTCTTCTTTTTTTATTTTCTTTAAAGAAAAAAGCCAATTCTTTTTCCATATCTTTTATAAATTCCTTTTCTTTCAATATTAGTCCATCTTGTCCTTTTCTTTTGTCCCTTCCACATAACCCTTATCAGGTTATGATCTGCCCAGGTGCTTGCTTCAATGTTTATTTCTTGTATGTTTAAAATTAGTTCTGCTGACATCCAAATCATATCAAATCCTTGACCATGACAAATGTCCATTGGAGTAAAATGTATATTGTTTACTTTTAGTATTCATTTCTTGCCAAGGTGGGCCCTTGTAGATTATAAAAATTAATTGTCAAAGGAAGAAGAAACAACAGCTGTCTCCAAAGAAGCTTTTTATATTGCTATTGGACTAGTCTCACTATTGGACTCACTTGAGACTTTCAAGAAGATATTGGACTGCCATTTGTCAGAAATGGTGTAGGGTCTCCCGCTTGGGTGGGGGGTTGGACCAGATGACCTACAAGGTCCCTTCCAACTCTGATTATCTGTTATCAGTCTATGGATTACAAAAATACAGGACTGCAAAGCTGGTTGGTGATTGGAAAGAAAAAGAACAGGGAAAAAAACTTGGGACTTTTTTTTTTTTTGCAACATACTAAAAAAGTGAGGAGAGGAGTTGGCTGGGAATTTTGGATTATTGTTGTTGTTTACTTTTTAAAATAAATTTAATTAATAGATATAGGTTGAAATGGAAAGCAACCCAAATTTAACTAAACTAGGAAAAAACCCTCATCCGCACCAGCAGCAGCATCGAGTCCATCAAGCCAAGCCAAAGATCAATAGAAAGTATCTTGCAACAAGAAAAAATGAATACATTTCAAAATGAAATGCAAACAATGTTTCAGTTTATATAAGAGGCCATGGCAAAACATCATAATGAGATGAAAAATGAGATGGGAGAGATGAAAGAAAAAATACAGATGAAAGAATAGGGAATTTTCAGCAAATGATTGTTATGAGATGTACATAAAAATAAATCAACAGACTCTGATCCATATGATGCTTTATTAGGGAAGATACTGCAGTATCGGACCCCTTACTCCAAAAAAAAAGCCATTTTAGGAGGAAGGAGACACTTCCATTTAGTGAATACAGCTTATATAGGTTTATCAAATCACATGGTTACATAACACTTCCTGTTTTCCATACATAGAAGTTATATGACGTTTTTTCATAAGAAAGTTCCAACCTCTCATGGAAAACTTCCAACATTTTCATTATAGTCAGATTTCCTGTTTCTCTCCAAATGGTTACACAAGTGATCATTAATATTCCTATAATGTCAAGATGACCTTATTAACCCAAGCCAACAACAAATGATTTCATGACCAAACAGAACATCAGCAAAACAAGTTTCATAACCATTCTGATCACTAACAGGTCACACAGAGAACAAATATGGCTTCAGTCTTGCTCTTTATATTCTCAGGTTTATATGGCAAATTTCCATATATAACAATAGCAAAAAATGAACAAAGGATTCAGACAATAGAACAGAAATCAGAACAAGCAGAGAAAAAAGATGAGATAAATCAAAGATTGACACAGGCAGATAAGGAGCTAGAAGAACACGTGATAACATTGGAAATGGAGAAGGTTGATTACTTCCTGAGATTTCAGAATATTGTTGAAGAAAAAAGGGAAGACCTTCCTGTAATGACAGAGTTGTTGGCAGATGCTTTAGAGAAAGATAAGCAGGGGACTTCTGGTGGTGACATTGCGGCAGTGCGGGGAAAGGAGAATGGACTCAATTTCTTTGACCCGAATCTACATGTTTGGAGTCCCCCTCCGAGGGCATGCAAGTCTTGGAGGGATTTGCAGTACAGTAGGGAAGCCTGGGGAGCAGAGAGGTGTTAGGTGACCACCCGCTGTAGCGAAGGGAAACCCTTTAAACCCAGCATGTAAGTTTCTTGCCATTCCCTAATGGCGGACCTGAGGTCGCAACAACCAAACTGAAGAAGGAAGAAAGAAATTAGACAACAACTGTGGCATCGAGTGAGATATGGAAAACTTAATACTGTAAAAGGTGGAGAGTGCTATCAGAAGAGGGAAAGATTGCGGATTGTGGATGGTCGGACAGTGAGTCTCTGAAACGAATGGGCAGAAGCCTGATAATTTGGCAACGATCTGGTGGTGTGAGTAGCGGTGTTTGGAAAGGAAAGAATTTTGCCAAGTTAATTAAACTAAGTGATTAGATCGGAAAAGTGGACAAACTGAGAGGAACAAAAGTGGATAGAATTATGTTACTTTGACTTGGACTGGGGAGGAGATTGGTGATTGAGAGCTGCTACATGAGGAACGTGAGGAACTGATTAAGAATGGAGCCAGGACTATAAGATGATTGCTTTTCTTTCACCAGCAATAAGGACAGAGAAGGGAAGAAAAAAATGGAAGAGGCTGATGTAATAGAGTCTCCATAGACCAAAACAATTGTGAATTTCAGTAAAGGTTTAACTAATTGGTAGATTAAGGATTAAGAATTAACTAATGATGGATTAATTGACCAATAGAAAATTTGAGGAATTGATTAACAAAGTAATTAATTGTAATACTATTAAGTGCTAATATCGTTGTATAAAAGGAAGATTATTTATATATAAATTTGGAAAGGCATCCTATAGATTTTGGATATACTGTATATTTGAAACAAAGTGTGTAACCCTTTACCTTTGATTGACTGATTTTAGAGTGGTGAAGTAAATAGGTATGTGCTTAAAACAAGTAATTTATACTACATATATTACATACTATTAATTTATAGTAGTTAAATATTAATATTATAGCTTATAAGTTCATATATATATATGTTGTGATTGGAAGGACCAATCCTGTTAGGAACTTTGAATCTGATGACTGTTAGATCGTGGATTGACGTCAGAACCAGGAAACGTTAATCTGATGGGCAAGCCAGTTAATTAGCACGTTACTGCAAAGAGCTCTGTCTGTTTGAATTTCAAAGGGGAGTCC